TCTCTCTCTCCCTCTCTCTCTCTCTCTCTCTCTCTCTCTCACACACACACACACATACACACACATACACACAGAGTGTAATGCTTTAGTATGTTTACAACTGTGTTAGGCTGCTGGCTGAGTATGTCTGATTGTGTTCTACATATATAACAGACTGTTCAGACTCAAAAAGAAAGAAAGAAAACTTTGGCATATTGGTACACTATGTGTTCTATAGGTTTATGTTAAATGAAGTACGCCCATTATAAAATGATAAATGCTTGCATGAGGCTGTTGGAACGAAACCCATTATTCTGTACAATCAATATATATTAGCTGCCAGATGTTGCATTATACACCTGCAGACCCACACTTGAGAAGGGGAAAGCAGGATGGGGAGTTCAAGGCTAGCCTGGGCTACATGAGACCCTATATAAAACAACAAAGAAAATAAAAACTATGAAAATATATTCAAAAATTTTATAAAGGACAAATACAGTATGATTCCATTTATTTGGTGCCTGGAGGAGGTAAGCACTTAGAGACAACAGAACGGTAGTTAGCTGAGGCTGAAGGGGGTGAGGAGATGGTGTGAAGGGCACAGAAAGTCAGTTGGAGATGATGTAATCGCTGTAGAACTGGAAGGTAGGGATGGTTTCACAGTAGGGCAAATAATATGCATTACACTGAACAGCACACCTCAGAAGAGAGCCCTTTCGTCTTTTACTACCTGACTATGCAGATGCAGATGGGGTCCTACTCATGATGCCAGAGAGGCCTCATGAGTACTGAGCCCAGTGCCCAGGGAGGCAGACGGTCCTCTCTGGAGGACCAACCAAGAATCCAGTCCAGGAAAAAGCCTCTGCCCTGCATGGCTTTGCTGAGGCCCTGAGTAAAGAATTACTCCAGCTCAGGCAGGGAGCAAGAGGGGCTGGCCTGGTCTGGTTTCTAGGAAGCTTCTTTGCCCTGGATGGCAGTCAGAGGTGCCATCTCTCTAGGACAGGCAAGAGTGATGATGGCACCAAAGCCACACACAGTGTGCCTGTTGAAGGGGAAATTGCTTCAGCTCTGATATCGTGGTGTGCCTCCTAGGACTTAAACGTGCCCTACACGATGCCAACAGGCTAAGGACACCAGGATGGGTACTCTCAGCCCTGCTTAGGGCCAGAGAAGCCTAGGCTCCACTAGAAGGGTGACTCTAGTAAAGAAAGGTAAGGATTGAGTGGAGGGAAAAGGAAGGGCTCTCCAAGGTTAGAGAAACTCTAAAGTATGCTGCTCTACACAACTGCATTATGCATGCCAGGTCTGGTGTATTGGCTGCTTCACCACTCTGCCTGGGAGGCCTCAGCCTGGGAGGCCTGGGAGTTCTTTTTGCATACCTTTGAAGAGCAGCACTTAGTGGGGTGTCTGACTCAGTGATAAATAGTCACTCTTTCTCAAAGTGATTCATTCCAAAGCAGCCACACTTATCAATAGTTGATACTGCCTTGCTGCTTCTGCCCTTTCTTAGTAGCACACCAACATGTGGCAGCTTTGTGTAAAGAAGGGGAGGAGCGAAAGGACCAGTTGGGAGAGAGGGAATCAACTAGCTGGTGGCTCTCAGAGAATGCTCTGAGGTCCTCTCTGACCTAGTTCAGGGCCTCCTCCTGGACTGCCTCATAGACTCTCCTGCCACAGCCCTGACAGTGAGGTTCTGGGGAGAAAGTACTATCACCCCTATCATCCAGCCTCATCCCACCCCATTAACATTACAAGTCCCACTCACGCTTTTGCCACGGTCCAGGCTGGGCTCCTCTGGGGCCAGCTCACCAATCAGCAGGGGCTTCAAGAACTTGCCCACAAAATCCAGGTCCAAGTGGAAGGCACGGAAGGCATCCTAGGAAATAGAGAAGCAGGTTGGTAAGGCTGAGCCCCAAATCTCTGCTGGTTCCTCCCACTCTAGGAAAGAGGGCATTTAGCAGAAGCTCTAGCTTCTGCTCAGACACCAAATGGGACTTCCCACCACCCAGTGGCAAATGTTTATTCCAGACTCCGCCCCAGGACATGTCCCCAGTGCAGGACTCCAGCAGCAAATCCTAACCACCCTGAGCCTCTGAACTGGCATCAGGCCTACTGAGCTAGTCAAGGATTTGTGAACAGAAAGGTTTCCAGGAAAAGCAAGTAAGCACAGGACTCAGAGAAGACAGCCCTGGCATGCTCCTGAGCTGAATGTCTTTCCCAGTGCACAATCTACACCACCCACCACTCCAGAGACGTCCTCTTTCACGAGGCCACAATTATCAGTGAGGAGATAGGACTCAACAGAAGGGGTTTAACTCAGTGATAAAATGCTTGCCCAGCATGTGTGAGGCGCCCAGCTCGGTCTCTAACACCTAGAAAATGACTACAGCATGAAAACTATGCTTAGATGGCATGAAACAGTAACAGGAAAAAAAAAAAAGTAACGCGGAATTACGTAAAAGAATTCCTGGAAAACCTGGCACAGAGTGTCGAGACTTAAACTCTTACTGAAGACATGGGCTGCACCTTACTTTATTTTCATTAGTTTGCAAACTTTCCCTAACGTTACTATCACATTCTTCATTTTAATCTCTCTCATTCTGGAGATGAAGTAGAAACATGTTTAATTCTGGCAATACTAGAAAATGCACAGAAGAAGAAAAAAGACAAATAATCATCACGTGGGAAGTTCATCAATGTTAATATTGTAGTGTTCCTGTCAGCTTCTTCTACACACAGTACATATATGACAAAAATTATCTCCACAAAATCAACTCGCTCTTCTAGAGGTGAGTCTGCATCAGGTCCCCAGGATGTCTAACTGGATGCTCCAGTTTCACGTTATTCTGCCTCCCACCACTCATCCAAACTGAAACACTGCAGGATTGAGCTGAACAAGCCATATGGTACCAGGAAAAACAACCAGAGAAATCGACGTAGTGAGGTAGAAAGGTGTGAGCATGGGGACACTGGTCTAAATGGAGACATGTAAACCACATACTTTCACTAGAAGGGTTCCGGTTCGGAGGAAATGTAGAATCTACACAAGAGTTTTGGGAGGTAGACGTGAAAATAAAAAGATTTTTGAACCAATGGGGATTTTTTTTTTTTTAAGGCAGGGTCTCCTATCACCCAGACTGGCCCATAAGCTCATGTGTAGTCAAACATACGTGGTCAAAGAGTTGAACTACTGATCCTCCTGCCTTAGCCTCCCAAGTGCTTGGCTCACAGGCACGCATCACCATGTCTGGTTTATGCAGTGCTGGGGATTGAATCAAGGAGCATGCTAGGCAAATGGTCTACAGGATAAACTACAGCCCCGGCCTCTAATTATTTTTTGTGAATGTGATAGAGGTGTGATTATCACAGAACACTTTTATTCCTGGGAGAAGATGCTGCAACTTTTGATGTTTTACTTAAAAAAAAAAACATTAGATTCATTTATTGTATGTGTATGAGTATTCTGCCTGCATGTATTTATGTACACTGTGTGTGTGTGCCTGGGGCCCAAGAAGGTCAGAAGAGAGTATGTTTTACTTAAAACCTTTTTACATTTATTTATTTATTTATTTATTTATGTGCACACCCAGCAGATGTGGAAGTCAGAGGACAATGAATGAGTTGTCTATTCTCTCCTACCACGACGTGGGGCCCAGGGACTGAAGTCAGGTCGTCAGGCTCGGCATCAGGTGGCTCAACTGATGATTCGTCTTACCCACTCTGGTTTGCTCTTTTGAAATAGTGGATCATGTCACTCATACTGGCCTCAAATTGATGTAGGTTGTCCTGGAAACCCTGATCCTCTTGCCTCTACCTTCTGAGTACTGGGATTGATGGCATGCACCATCAAACAACTTAATTTCAAAAGAAAATTGTCTTCACATAAGGAGAAAGCAAATGAGATTAAACATTACTATTAGAGACTCTTGGTTCAGAAGAGACAGTATTTCTTTATCTTTCAATCTTTACATTGGGAAAGGGGATGGTATCTGTCATAATCCCAGCAAGGCCAGTGATTTGCAAGGTTCATTATATATGAACCTGCAAAGTAACATTTCGTACAAGAGAACAATGGGCAGAGCTTAAAAACAAACCCACAAACAGAATCTCCCCTAGCTGAATAGAAAAGGTGAGATTAAATCAAGGGGTCAGATCAAAACCAAGGGTCTTTTCATAGAGAGAAGCCTGCTGTCCAAGGAGGCTCAGGCAGACAGGGAGGAGGGAGGCCCAGTTCTGTGAGCCCTAGGCTCAGGCTTCTTTACAAAACAACAACAACAAACACATACATACATACACACACACACACACACACACACACACACACACACACACACACACACAGAGCAAAACTCTGAGAAGAAAGTCCAGCAAGAGTTGCCAGTGGCAGGGTCCCCTCACTATAGACAGGAAGTTCCCTCTAAGTTTCCTCTCCACTTGTTGAAAGGTAAAGTTTGGTGGCCAGCAAGTGCATTATTCACCTCAGCTCTTCCTGATCACTCACACCACCTCCTCCTCCATCCAGGATGCCTCCAGCTACCGGCCAATGAGAACCCTGTCACTCCTCAGCCATTTGCACAGGGCTCTGGAGCAGCCTCAGCTCCCTGAAATCAATCAGGTGAGGTACATGGCTACAGGTCAGGCAAAGTCCTTCATCACTTCAAAGTCCCCAGGCAGTGAGGTCTTGAATGTTGGGCGTGCAGCCAGACTGCAATCCAGTCCAACTGCCTCAGGTGGTGGCTTTACCTTACGCCTCTTATCAGTTGCTCCATGGAACCAGCCCATTGTCATGGCTGCCTTAGTAGCTTGCAGAGCGGGCTCTTTAATACATCATGTTTCTTCCCAAACCTGTGCTAGAGCTATGGGCTTTGCTTTAATGTTATCTTCAAGAATTTTTCTTAGTCTCACATCTGAAAACAGCCCTTTTTAGCCTTAAGCTTCCCAGGGACAGTGCTGAACCCCCTTCTTCATACTCATGTCAGGATCGTAAACCAGGAGGCTAGGGATATGGCTTTGTGAATTAAGTGCTTGCCATGAAAATATGAGGACTGGGGAACCCCCAACACTCACATAAAATTCAACCTGCCCGTAATACCAGCACCAAGGAGGTGGAGACAGGATATTCCTATAGCTGTCAGGCTAGCTAGACTGATTCATCAAGATCCAGGCTAAGAGCGGCAGACATCCTGCCTCAGTAAATAAAGTGCACAGAAATAGTAGAAGGTATTTGATACCAACTTCTGGCCTCCACAAGTACATGCACACACATGCAGTCACACATACATGTGAACACAGCACATTTGAACATGCATGAGTGCACACACATATATCACAAACTTCGGATATAACTCCTTTGGGATAGTAATTGCCTGGTGTGCTTGATGCTGTGGGTTAATCCCACATGCATGGCATAAACCAGGTGTGGGGGTAGAAACAGAAGGATCAGAAATTTAAGCTGTTCTCAGCTACAAGGTGAGTTTGAGACCAGCCTGCAATACATGAAATCCTGTCTCAAAAAAAAAAAAACCAAAACAAAACAAAAACAAAAAGCCCACAAAACTGCACAGATTGTGTGGCATATTCATTGTAAATCCTGTCACCTGCCACCTAGAGATGAAAGGACCACATCTAGTCTGTGGTGACTATCCCCACAGCTGCTTCCCAAGACTTCACAAAGCTCAGAGAAGCCCAGGCCCCCGTGGCTGTGAACCTTCTAATCCAGGATATGTTTCCATCCTGTAATCCAGTATAGACGCTGCAGTCTATTATTTGATACAACCCGATCAATACTTCTGGAACATGGGAGCTCTTCATCACTCTGGCATTCACATTCCAGTAGGCCTTCAGGCAGCTGTCACTTCATAGGCAAGGAAGCAAGTCAGGTGGGTGGCCTGTGTCATCAGCCTCTGTTTTCCCAGCTCTGAGAGGTGGGTCATTTTGTTGTTGCCTTTCTTTTGTGTGGTACTAGGAATAGAACCCCAGGCTTTCACATGCTAACTAGCACAATACCATCCTAGCCTTTCAGGTCCTGCTATATGGATGAGAAGAGACTTAGGTTGGTGACCTCACTTGTCCGTGGTCACACCCCAGGAACTGGCTGGGCAGAGCCTGGGCATGATGGCTAACTTTGGATTTTTCTGCTGTTAAGACAAAATGAGTTTTCTCTTCTTTGGGAACTGTTCACTTCAGATGTCACTGCTTCAAGGGGTCATAGCTGTGCCTTGAACACTGTAATTCTGAAGAGCTGTCTGTTTACAGGGATGACAGGTTGCAGCGTAGGCCACAGTGCAAGGCAAGACTGGTCAACCCAAATGATGGTTTGGAACAAGAGTTAGAAGCAGGCTCTCTTTCTCTGACAGGGAGAGAAGCCAAAGTCTTTCTAGGAAGCAAGCCAATGACATGGGAAATGTGGAAGGAGTGACAAACAGGTGCAGGGGACCTGAGCAGATACCCAGTGAGGTCAGGCCCGGACTCGTAAGCACTGCGCTTGCTGTTTGTCCTCAGCTGACATGGCAGTGACTTCTCTAGGCACAGCTTCCCTGCCCCTGCCCCCACTGGGCAGAACTCACTGTTCCTGTCCCTTGCACTGAGCCTAGGGGTACCAAAACCTGTTTCTGACTGTGCCCAGGTTCTTCAGCACAGCAGAGCCATAATAAGCTAGATTTCCACATCTGGGAATTTAGCCCAGGATTTAAGAAGTACAGGTCAATAAATAAGGGTACATAATAATTCATGCAGCAATCCAGGGAAGGTTCTTTGATGATTTCTCAAAGCAGCAAAATAATAAGGAGGGATCTGGGAGTTTACAGGTAGAGATTAAAAAGATGACAGTCACCGGGGATACTGACTTGTGAGTTACTTTCTGCAGCACATAGGTAC